ATGAATTTGGAGTTTTGTGTTACAAGCCCAGTCACATTAACTTCTCATTTTTCATCAGTAGCCACAAATTGTCCCCAAACATATGGGAGCCTTTCTGTTGAAGTCCTTGTGTAGAGAACTGTCACTGGCAGAGTGGTGTGCCAGGAGCAACCGTGACGGGAAAGACCAGAAGACAGAACTTCCTTCTTTCAACTGTATTCCTGACTTTGGTGCCTCACACCCACTAACAGATCTTTTTTTCCTGCTCTCTCTCCTTCAGGAGGGCGATGCTGAACATGGTTGTTCACAGTGTAAAGGCTCAGGCTCTGCTCCCTGCTCACTGTGCCATGGAAGCAAGTTCTCAATGCTGGCAAACAGATTCAGGGAGTCCTACCGAGCTCTGCGGTGTCCGGCGTGCAACGAGAGTGGGCTGGAGCCCTGCCACATCTGTACTGCCTGACTGGGCTGCCAGGGTTCGTGGAAAACTTGGAATTATTTAACATCCCAACAGCCGTGCAATGGCAAGTTTTTAAAAGATGGGAATGGCACGTTATACATATCTCACTGTGAGTGTGAAACTGCACCTCTCCTCCCGATCGTCCCTCCAGTCTGCCCCGTGAGCCTGTCCAGCTTTGGAATCAGCCTGACCACGGGTGGAATGTGTCCCTGATGCCAGATGCAAGGCAAATGTATCCCTGGCCCAGAGCAAAAGATCAGCATTTGGAGATCAAGCACCTGTGTAAACACCTCTGCACCTGAAACTCAGCTGAAACAGTCCCTGTGCTGGCACTGTCCCTCTCTTGGGTACTTGGTGCTTGGCACAGCCAGGTCTGACCCCTGGGTGCTCTGTCATTAGATGCTGCAGGAGTGGGTGTGCAGTTGGTACCAGTACAGGTGCACACTGCCTGTACAAGCAGTGCCTCCCCCGGGTTTTAACCTGCCGAACACTGCAAGTGACACTGTTGTTGCTGTTAACTCTGTCCGTGCCCTGCAGGGTCACAGGCACTTCCTGAGGTTTTGTTGATCTTACACTGTCTTTAGTGACACAGTGATACCTTTGGGGTCTGATTTATGGGAGGCAATCGAAAACCCTTCCCAAACCTGGAGCTATAAAAATAAAATAAACATGTATTTATTACTATGAATAGAAGTTACTAAGTTTTTAGTCTCCTTACAAGGAAGGGCTGGACTAGAAGTCCCCTGCATGCTGCTCAGCACTTCTCAGGACCAGGCTGAGAATAAACAGGATGGCTCTTGCTTAATATTAATCCCATGTTGTAATCTGCAGGAGGTAAACTCTAATTAGTGAGGTGAAGCAAGGATGGGGATACTCTGCAGGGTGCCACTGGTGCACAAAGCGTGGGGGCTGTGAGAAGCTGAGGCAAAGGGGAAATGGTATTTTTTTCCCCAAAGCATTAACTTATTACACTGTATATTCAGGAGTAATGTCAGTGCAACCTTAACTTCCATATTACCTCTGAGACCCTGATGAGTTAGAGGCTGCTCACACCTGCTTCATGCTGAGTCTGCAAGCCCAGGCACGGTAATTTATGGACAAGTTTCTATTTTCCTGTGTTAGGTTACAAGGTTTCTCTGCAATACCGAACGATTTGAAATAATGCTGTTTTAGTTCTTAGACTTCCATATATCTCCTGCTGAAATTGTGAGGTGGGTACTGAGGGTTTATTTTTCAAATTGCATCAATCTACAGCAGATATTTGATTGGCTTTATTCATCATATCAGGATTTGCAATATGAAAAAATGTTGTCCTTGGGGTCTTACTGAGGGCAGGTGAGACCTCCCAAATCAGAAATTGCTTTTAAGCAGATATCTTCCTTCAAATCAGACCTGTTTGATCTCAGTTTGTTGGGCTTGTTGGAGAGTTTACTGGCTTAAGAGAAGAAAAAGCAACCAGGTGAAATTATAGCCTGATAATGTTTACAGTAAAACCAGATGCAAATATGCATTTATAAAATCAGTATTTATTGTTCTTTGGTGTAATTACAATGTTTTTCAACCTCTGTCACTCCTCTGGGCTGTGTCAACTGTTCCCATCATCCCAACACGTCACTAGGGCTATGGCTGCAGCCAGGAGCTGAGCTCTGCCCTTGTTCATCCCAAGCCCTGCAGGTCCCAGTGCCCGGGGGAGCATGGACCTGTCTGTGCACTGGGATTGGACTGGGAGTGACACGGTCCAAGCAGCGCGGGGGGATTTGCTCCCTTCACTTCCAGTGCACTCCTTTTACTTTGATAATGCACTGACTTGATTTACCCAATAAATGCTCTTATTTCATGTGACAGAGAAGCTTGAACTTTCCTGCAGCATCATGGTGAGGGGGCTGTTGAGGCAATGGGCTACTTGTCACATGTTACTGGTTTTATTTCTGCTATAGTCAGAGGCTGCCCATTCATCCGTGTGTCTGTCCTGGCTGGGCAGGCAGCACGGGGTGCAGGGTGTGAGCTGGGCGAAGCTACCCTTGCAGCCAGCACTGCCCTGCTCCAGCCTGGTTCTGTCCCCAGCTCAAAGAGGCACAAATCTAACCAGGGCTGTGGCCCAGTGCTTGTGGGCAGAGCCCCTTGCACTCACTGGCAGCCTGGGCAGAGCCACAAGGACCTGTGCTGGGCAGCCTTGCTCCTGTTGCTGCTGTCCTGGGCACTGGGAGGTGGAGAAGACCTCCTGCTATATAACCTTTTGTCAAAAATTGTCAGATCCTTAAAAACTGTATTGCTTTATGGGTCAGGATAGAAGTAGATGATGTGTTGCAGTTCTGCCAAGAAATAACAAGTTTTTCCTGTTTGCTGAAAGCCTGTAAAGACATTGTTGGGCTTGCTGAAGTCACCAGGCTTCTGCACGTGATCTCACTGGGGTCAGGTGGAGTGTCCATCTCATGGGGGAATGACAGATGAGATATAGGAATTTCTAGATGTGGTGTTGTGGTTTTGTTTAACTGACTGCCTATTTTTTCCTGATGTTTGATGGCTCAATAATGGAAGTGAATCCCTGGAGTGGTGTCATGCCCTGTACTGAATACCAAACTGTCCCCTCACAGTGTATGTGAACTGCACGTGAAATTCTTTTACAAAGGAAAAACCCAAATATCCTCACAGGTGCTGGAACTTTGAACAGCAAATACAGGTAAAGGTGCCTAGTCTGAATCTATTTCTCTTGTTTCTGTTAACCTTCTACAGTTTGTTGTTTTGCCTTAGAACAGGAGTGTGCAAAGATGCATTTAACGGTTTCTTTAAAGGAAAAACAAAACCAAGGGCAAAAAGGCAACAGTCTCTTCTCCTGCCCTGCTGCAGAACTCCCGAGCTGCGTCTGACAGGCTCGGGCAGCGGGATTCACCAACCGTGTAGTTGGCTGCCACACCATGGCGAACCGACGGATGTGCTCCCAAACACGCGGGAGAAAACTCAGAGCGAACTTGGAAAGGAGAAGGCAGCTGATTTTTCTTGAGTGTTTGGCAGTTCGAGGTGAGAGAAGAAAAAGGGTTGGTGCTTTTCGGTGTGAAGGATTTGAACGATAGCAGAAACGCAGATGGAGTTGTTTCCTGTGGTACAGGTCGGTGGGACTCGGGAAGGGCAGTTGGAGGTGAGCAGGGAGGCTGACAGTGACACCCAGGGGGGCACAACAGGAAGGTTAAAATAATCCTTGTTTGTACGTGGCAGCAAAGTGCATTGCATGGTTTTAACCCAGAATGTGATAGGACTGAAGAGGTAATTGCCATAGTTACTCATAAATGCCTTAGTTAAAGTTGATTTCAGGACTCCTGCTCTGACTGTGTCTGCCGTGACTCTGCAGGTGGAATCTCGGAATGTTGTTATGCTGCAGAACAGGGTGGGAAGGTGCAACCAGATGAGCTCTCAGAGGAGACCAGAACCAAAGCTGTCAGGGTTCTTCAAGGGCATGTTTATGCCAAGACATCTTCTGGCCCATGGAAATCACAAGTGTGGCCTCAACTGTGGCATTTTGTTTCAGCTGCAACTTGTGATCCATGAGGATGGAGCACAGAGGTCCCTTGGACACTGCAAAGCACCAGTGTATTTTTTTGGGTGGCCTTTAGCTGAGTGCAGTGGTTGTTTTAAAGTGAGCCCGTGAACTGGGAACCAAACATTTAGTTCAGGTGTGATGAAGTGATCTGTATTTGAAATATGCATATCTATATGTGAAAGGCTTTTGTACTTATCGATCTTTATTGCAGCGACTAATCTGTGTAGTGGGTTTTTAATTTACATTTATTCACAACCACCATCCTTCCAAAGCAGTAACTAAGTGGAGGAATCTGGAAAGCTTTAGCTGAATTTGCATTATCACTGCCTCATTTCCCTGTGGTTAAAAAAGAAAGAATCAGAATATTTATGAATTTAAACGTTATTATTTTTTGCAAGTCTTTGAGGCTGTCGTTTTGATTTACGTGGGCTCCATTTGATCTTGTGTGTAAACCCAGCCCTTCGTTGCTTTGAAATATTTTGGTTTTATACAAATTATCCTGTGTGAGCTGCAGTGATTTCTCTCTGCTGTGGAACATGGTGCCACCTGAGCGGCCCGAGATTCCCTCCCAACAGCTTCTGAGAAATGCTGCTGTGACTGGGAACTGCTGCTTCTACAAATGACTGCACACCTTCCAGTCAGCAAAGGTATGCAAAGTCTTAATTCCCTGGATTCAGAATAACAACCAATGTGATCAATTCTGCTTGTTGTTGTTTGTAGAAAACAATCTATATGTTTGCAGGAAGACAAGCTGGAGTGCAGGAATTCTTGGTGTATTTTTACTCGCTGGGTTTCTGCAAGTGGAGAATGGTCGGTTCTGGTCAGAGTGATGCAAGGGGTGACCCCGTAACTGCTGAGATCCCCATGCTGGGGTGCCGAGGGGTTTGGGGGGTGGAGGGCTGGTGCTCCCGAGCCGCCGTGTGCTGGTGCTGTGCTCGCAGCTCTGCGCCTGCGAAATGGGCTTGGAAACCTTCCGGGAACGCTCGTGGCCGGCAGCGGGGTGGGAAAAACAATCCGGGGCTGCAGATGGGTTACACAGGCAAAGTCAGCTTTGGGGTTGGTTTGCGTCCATTCAGTGTGTTAGAGGAAGAAAGTCCTTGAAACACAAACAGTCGGGAAAGAAATTGACTCCAGGAGCTCATTGAAATTTATTGCGGGAGCTCATTGAAATTGACTCCAGGAGCTCATTGGCGCTTTTAGGAGAAGTGCGCACGCTTTGCCGGGATCCCTGTCCCCGATTCCCGCGCTCTGACGTTCTGAGCGATGGTGTGCGGGGCTGCGCTGCCCCGCGCGCAGCTGAAGGCCGGGGATGCGGCTGCGGCCGGCGGGGAATGAGGCAGGAGAGGGACCAGGCTCGCCCCGGCACCGGGGCAGCGCCAGCCCCGGGGGTCCCCTCAGCCCCGGGGGTCCCCTCAGCCCCGGGGGTCCCCTCAGCCCCGGGGGTCCCCTCAGCCCCGGGGGTCCCCTC